TGAGTCACGATTTTAGCTGGTCAGAGCTGATGAGAGATTTCGAGGTTTTTACAGACTCCACAAAGTTATGGATCCAAGTTGAGAACTAAGCACTGTGCAATCTAGTGGTGATTTCATAATAGTGTGGACTGCTTTTTCGTGGCATGGACTATGGTCCGATTGTACCGATCATTGACTAAAAAAGTTATGTTCAGTTACTTGGAAATCACTTGCAGTCATTGCATGGGTTTCATGTATCGAAACTAAGATAGAATTTTATGGATGTCAATGCACCATGTCCCCTGCCTTTATAGTTCGCGACTGATTTGAAGAACATTTTGGAGAATTCTAGCGAATAATTTGGCCACCTAGATCACCTGACATGAATGTCATATCGATCCTTTATGGGATTTAATCGAGAGGTCAGTAATCTTGCACAAACTCCAGCACATTTTCGCAATTATGGATATCTATTGAGGCTGTAAGGCTGAATATTCCTGCAAGAGACTTCTAACTACTTGTTGAGTACGTCGAGTCGCTATTTAGAGCTAAAGGAGGTCCGGCAAGATATTAAGAGGTGTTCCCAGACTGTTGTCATCGCAGTGAATTCATAAGGTGATTTTTTTTAAAAATTTTCTCCTAATTTTTAGCATTAAATTTAATTTTTTAACTCCTAATTTAAAACATTTTCGTGCATGTTTCTTTCGAGCATTAAGTCTCCATACTATTAGGAAGGTGTTTTTTTCAATTATTTAAAAACAATCTATATTTATTATAAATTGTAATTAAAACAGTTTAGCCTTCAATAAGGACTAAAACAATTTAAATTAATATTTAAAAACGAAAATTAGGATGGTGTCTCCCTAATTTTAGTTACATTTAAAAGAATACTTTCGTAACTTGTCTATACATCAAATAGATATTTTCACTTCGCGTATTATTTTATAAGGATCTAACATCTTGGATTTGGCCTAACTTCAGGTCCAACTTTCAGAAATGAAACGTCACGACAACCGATATTTCTTCCGTATTAAATACGTAAGGGTGCTTTTGTTGTGACTTACTGATGAACCATATTTTTGATCGTTATGTGTAACCTGAAAAAATAAGAACCTAATTGTTTATTTTTGTTTTTGGCAAACTTAAGACGAAAAATATGCATACGGTAGGATAACTTTAAAGTTTATATTCTTTTAAGAAAACTTTCTTTTAAGAAAACTTTCTCAAATTAAAGTGATAGCTAAAACGAAAAATAATTCAATAGTTTTCGTAAGAAATCAGCTATCACTTTTTCTCTTCATTGTTTTATTTTTGCGCAGCTTATACAAGCGGTTCTAAATTTTTTTTTTGTTACGGAACCCTGAATGATNTTGAGCAAGAAAATTAACACCTTATCATGGTATTGAAATCTATGCGTCTCTGTGAAAAACAGTAATTGTATATTTATGTTTGGTTAAAAATATACAAACTTACTTTATACTATTAGTTTGAGTCAAATTGACAACTTATTGTAGTTTGGAATTCAAACAGAATTCCCATATTGTATTGACATCATCTTTTTCAATATGGGAAAATATGTTTTTGTGAAAAACAGTAATAGTGTATTTTCGTTTCCATAAAACTACTCGATTTTATCTCTATACAATTATTTTGACTGAGGAAATTAACATCTTATCAAAGTATAGTTTGTCTACGGTAAGAACTCCCCTTGACACAAAGTCTGGGGCCGTCTGCTGCTATGGAAACAAGAATAGAGCATTTCAGGGAGGGAAGCTTCTCTTCACTATAGGGCTAACACATTAGACCGAAGAAAAATATTCCCTTTTTCTCGCTGACCCGAGCCGAAACCTATCCTAAGCAATTACTCCACAACCCTACTTGAAATGGTTATACCTCGTTACCATAGTCACCGCCATGAGTCCAGACGAATGGCTAGGGGAGTTCTTAGTTCAGACAAACTATACTAAATTCGATTCAGAAAAGGGTCGTTGTAAAAAAACTTGTCTTTTTAAATAGTATTTTTTTTTTAAATAAAATTTCTGGAGTTAACTATTGTACAAATATTTTGAGTCAGAAAATTAACATTTTACCGAAGTATTAAATTCTATTCAGAAAAGGTAAAACGCATTTTTGTCAAAAACAGAATAGTATATTTTCGTTTAAGTAAAAATTTATTTTCATACAAATATTTTGAGTCAGAAAATTAACATCGTATCGGAGTATTCTAAAACCACCTTTTTCAGTATGGGGAAATATGTCTTTGTAAAAAAACTTCTTTTTAAATGGTATATTTTTTTTAAGTAAAATTTCTCGAGTTAACTATTGTACAAATATTTTGAGTCAAAAAATTAACATTTTACCGAAGTATTAAATTCTTTTCAAAAAAGGTAAACGCATTTTTGTCAAAAACAGAATAGTATATTTTCGTTTAGGTAAAAATGTATTTTTAGGCAAATATTTTGACCCTGAATATTAACATCGTATCAGAGTTCTAAATTCTAAAATTTAAATTCTAAATTTCCCAGTAAAGGAAGATGTGTTTGTAAAAAACTATGGCAATTAAAAATTTTTACGTTTAAATGATTGAAGTATTTTTTTTTTTTAAAGCAATACCCACTTGTTTAAATAATTAAACCGTCATATATTCCACGTTTGTAGGGAGATTTTTACAAAATGTACAAAGCTGTGTCAAATTTTTGCTTTAACGTCTCACTTGCGTTTTAAAAAAATGTGAATAAATTATACAAAAATATGCAAAATCTGATATTAATGTGGTCATATTTTTCAAGTGCTGGTGAAATTTAAAATATTCACTAGACACTAGAAATTTAAATTTTGGAGAAAGCTAGAACTTAGTTACTAACTATGAAATGACAATATTGTTTAGATCCGAATAAAGAAAAACATTTTTACTTGATATGTCATGTTTTTTAAGTATTTTAGAATGACGTATAACGACCATACAGATGGAAAACAGTGATCAAACTTAATTTTGATTACAATGAGTTGACAAAAGTCATAAAATATAGCCAAAGTCAAAGAGGCAGATGGCAGTAGTATAGCGTACAAAATGTATGTATGGGTAGTAGTGCACTGTAAGGCCTTTTATTTGTGTTCAAGTTATTAATCTGAGAATATTTCTGATGTAATTATGACCACAAGATGAGAATTTATCAGACTCGGTAGTTGGAGCTAGACGCATGGGGCATTCCAGTTCAGAAATTGTGATTGAACTCAACATTCCTTGATCTACTGAGTCAAGAGTGTGCCGAGAATGTAAAATTTCTGGCATATCCTCCAATCACGGACAACGTAGTGATCTACCGCCTGCACTTAGTCACTGAGACAGCCGACGCGTGCATAGAATTAACAGTGTTATCGGACAAGTAACATTGCGTGAAATAACAGCAAGCATCAACGTGAGAGGACATGTTCATTAGGACAATGAGGCGAAATTTCGTTGCAACGGTATATGGTAGCAGATGATCAATTTGAGTATCTCCACTAACAGCGTGGTATCATGTCCAGCGCTTCTCCTGAATCATAATGGCTGGACCTGGACGACTGGATAACTTTAGCTTGTTCAGATGAATCACGATTCCAGTGGGTCATAGCTGAAAGGGAGAATACGAGGGTTGCGCAAACTCCACGAAGCCACGAACTGAAGTTGACAACAAAGTCTAGTGTTGGCTTCATAATAGCGTAGGCTGCTTTTTCATTCAGTGACTGGTCTTATGATCCGATAGCACGGATCATTGATTAGAAAAAGTTATGTTCAGCTACTTGGAAACCACTTGTAGCCGTCCAATGGATTTCATGTATTGAAACTAGGATAGAATTTTATGGATGACAATGCACCTTATCACTTGCCTTAATTGTTCGTGACTGGTTTAAAGAACATTCTGGAGAATTCTAGCGAATGATTTGGCCACCTAGATCACCCGCCATGAATGTCAACTTGTAACATATTTCACAAAGCCCAAGGGTCCCCGCGGAACACCATTTTGGAACCGCTATCTCACAACTGGATACATGTAAATGACGTCCACGTAGGCATCGGTCGATTGAGAAGCCATTCAGGTTCGATATACAAGCGTGACGTCGCCTACAAGCATCCAATCAAATCTTTTTTAAATCACGTGGTTACACGCAGTCACTTCACTTCTTCACGAGTTGTAAGTATCCAATTTTACCTATAATTTTAAATTAATATAATTTTGTTTCCTATTTTCACCATAGATTATTGCCGTTCACGGTAGTAGTTAAATGAAATCCGCTTGCAAAAAGGAAAAAAAAAAAAAAAAAAAAAAAAAAAAAAAAAANAAAATGAAAAAAAAAAAACATATAAATATAAAGTCAAAAAAAAATTTGGACTTTGTTTCAAGTTACCGAAATCCTTTTGATCTCAAAAATACATTTTACCGTATTTGAACGAAAAAATAGAGTTATCTGAAATCGAAAAAAAAGTAGCAGAGAGATCCTCTAAATAAGATGTATGTTTCGCCGGAAGGAGACGGAGTAACACTTTCGACTTTTTGAAAAGTTCATTTCTCAAATGTAGGTCGCCATTTCGTCTTGGGTTATACCCCAGTTAAAAAACGACAAAAATTCTATCGAATCTTTTTCTCCGACAGAATACTACTTTCATTACTTCCGCGCGGTTGGATGTCACTTCATTTGACACACAACACAACACGTGAGCAACAATGAATTCCATTCCTTATTTAAAGAAATATTCCAAAATAATTGGCTTATTTCATTAATATCTTCTAGAATTCTTACAAGAATGTAAACTATATCTTTTCTTAGGAATTTAAAGGTGTTTCTGCTACAAGTTAAAGACGAAGAAACCGTCGAATTTAGCCAATTAGTTTGCCATTATTGAACATGACTTTAGAATTATGAGAAAATGACAAAAGTTCGTTTCAGTAGTACGAATTTTAAGAATATCTTGGCTGAACTTATAAAAATAATGTAGTTCTACGAAAAATAAATTGTAATTTTGTGAAAAAATTTAGGTAAAAATTTGTTGAATGGCTTATCTAATTTACATTCTTTTTACTGAATCTTATTTTGTTTGTGGCGATATTGTATAGAACCCATTAACGGAGTATTTAAAAAAAAATTATGATAGAAGAGATGAGAACTTCTAGTCATCAGCAAAACAACAAAAGTACAAATTTCGAGAATTAATTTGCACTTTTAGAATATCATGATTTTTAATCCGTATGATAGTTCTCGAATCCAATTGTGTTGTCAACTTCCGGGCTTGACGAAATGGAAATTCATTCGTAACGGTTCTTGAAACAAACTGTGTTGTTAGCTTCTGGACTTGACGAAATGGAAATTCATTCGTAACGGTTCTTGAAACAAACTGTGTTGTTAACTTCTGGATTTGATGAAATGGAAATTGATGAGTTATAGTTCTCGAATTCAACTCTGTAATTAACTCCTGGACTTAGCGAAATGGTATAAGCAAAAGAATTTGTTTGAAAACTCTTCAATTAACAAATGAGTTCATTAGTTTGATACTCTCCTATTTTTAATCTAGTACTTGATGTGAATGTGTGGCTTCTTTAAACCATGATCATCAATTGATTGGAGACAAGTATTGCTTTTTATCTGAAAGCAATTTCCATCGATTGATTAAAAATGTGTAGCAAGTGTTTGTCCTCGAGTGCTCTTTGCACGGAAACTTTTTTCGAACAAAATGGGAACAAAAAATTTAAACCATTTTTTTACATCAAACTGGAATACTTCCTCTCATGTAAGTACTTTTTCAATGCATTTGCTTTTATCTAATTAACTTCTTTGCACTCCTCTCTCTTTAAACATTAATTAAATGAATACAAACACTAAAAATTTTTTAAATATTAAATTTAATTTTAACTCGCTTTTATAGTATAATAAAGTGGTAACTGAACTAACGGTGGTTACAAAAGTGATTACTAACATCATCATTAATATTTATCTGGGCGCCTGAGGCCAATAGCGGCTCTTTTCTCATTCATCTTGTAACTAGTTACATTTAATTCGAATATTTTGTATTCTAAATAAAGTTCCATTGCTACAAAAGTGAGTAGCCTCTGTCTTGAGTTGATGTTTGCTTTCATGGTTTCAAATGCGAAAATTTTATTAAATCTTGGAGTATCACAATGTAAGTCATTTTTCAAAGAATTTGATATTAAGTTTATGATGGTCAATATGATGATTTAAAATAATTAATGTCGAAATCGCGATGTATATTCTTCTTTCGAAACCATCTTGCTCGTGCCATTTCATTTTGACATCTTTTGAGTTTTTCCAGGAGTGGTGAAGAGATATTGCACCAGATGCTAACCTCAAAATGTGATTAATTGTTGAAATGTAAAGCAATCGTTTAAGTATGAATTTCATGCAGAATTTTGAAGGAGAATTTGTAGTCTAGCATGTGTTTTGATTTATATAGTAAGGTAAAAAATTTTTAAAATTCAAAGTGGTGATTCGTGATGTTCCCGCAGAGGAAATATAGGGAGTGTTAACAAATCTCTTTCCATAAAGGAAGAGCTTATTGGAAGAAAGAGGTATGTGACAATTTCAAAGTAACTATAATCTGGGTAAAAAGTTATTATTATTATTGATTATTTTATTATAGATTATTTTATTATGGATTATTTTATTGTAGATTATTTTATTATAAGATTTATTAAAAATTTATTATTATAGATACCGTGCAATTTTATTATATATTTATTTGAGAGTGAGGCTTATAATTCTTTACCTTACTTTATTTACCACTACTTAATTTGAAATAAAAATTATGCAAGCATACTCAGAACTAAGATTTGTTAGGTTAAAGTTAAAATCACAGCAAAATCAATATCAATCAAAGTCAAATGAAAGCAAATTAATTATCAATCTTAAACATACCCATATTGTTGCTTTATGTTATTTTCCCGAATATGTCGCTTATTTGCTTCTTCCATAAGCTCTTCACATATTGGTTAACTACAGAGGGCTTATGAGAATTATCCACGTAATAAAGCAATGTGTCATATAACAACTGTCAGTGTTTTCTAAATTTACGAGATTTAAAATTGATATTAAGAAACTAATCCTGTGTTTTCATTTAGGCACTTGTGGCTACATGAGTCTCAAAATTATATTTGTGCACACAAGTTTTATATGAGTAAAGAGTGGTAATTTGAGAAAATAAGCAGCATTTAGATGGTAACTGGTAGCTATTTCAGAGTGAAAATTAACTGCAGAAATATTAAGTCTATTGTATAAATAGTTTTATTATTTATAGATCTTGATAGTAATCTCATTATGTGGTTATCGAATTCATTGTCAGTAATGAAAAATGCTTTTTTAAACAACTTTAAAACTTGGTTTAATACTATACATTGGTTCAATCACTTCATATGTTTGGAATACGTACGCGAGTCCTGGTAATGAAAATGGTTTTAAAATTTTTCGAAATCAATAACTAAAACATTCATTTCGGGACTGTTAGAAGAGAATATTCCACAAAAATTTGGCAGTTTAGAACTTGTTATGTACCTACATTATGATATCTATGAATTAGTTTAAGAAGTGAATATGGGTCGTTACTCTTCAATGCACTTGAAAGAAACCAAAACAATTAGAACGTCTCAATAGTCTTCGTTCTTTCTTGGTACACTTGCACTCGGAAGTAAATATCTCTAGGCAAACTCCCACTCCATGTTATGTAATTAAGATTAGGCTTAGCAGAGTTGCAATTTGTTAACTTAACAAGATTTATAATGTATAGTGTTACTACTTATAGTATCCACATAAAGTATTATTAAAATTGATTAATTATTAACTTATACGTTGTTAAGCAAAACTTTTGCTAGTAATAGCAGCATTTATGTTTTAATGAATTCATAATGGATTCTTAATTTAGAAAATTAATAATAAAAATAGTTGTTTTACCTATCATTACAAATCAATAATTCAAACATATGTATCTATTAATTACATAAGTTAGGCAATTATGATCTTAATAAATGTTAGTGAAATAGCTTAATTTTTAGAAAATGTTTCCTACTAGAATCATTATTTTACTGCCTGTAACTAAAATCTTGACCACACTATGGATTTCGCAAAAAGGGATTATCAAAACAAAAAGAAACGAAAAAATGAAGAAAAAAAAGGGAAAAAAAAAACGGGTAAAAGATTAAAAAGAAATGAAAAGTTGTAGTTGATATTTAATATAATTTAAACGTATCTTTGTGAAAGGCAGTACAATCTTCTATACTTACGCTTAAGAGAAATAATAAAAATTTATTTCTTTATCATTATTTAAAACCAGAATACCCAAAGAAGTCATCAGTCTTTTCATTGGAGTATTCTAGTCAAAAACTATTTTTTAAAATACTGTAAAATATGCCTTTTGTGAAAAATAGTAATATTATATTTTCGTTTAAGTTATATTGTATTTTCGTCGACATCACACTATTATTTTGAGTCAGAAAATTAACACCTTATTATCGGTATTGACGTCGAAAATCATCTTTCTCAATAAGAAAAAATGTGTCTTTGTGAAAAACAGTAATTGTATATTTTCGATTGGTTAAAGTTAAGTAAACTTAAAATCATTTTCATTTAATATAACTATAAAGTGGAAAAGTTTGCAACAAAAGCATTTTAATATAAGCATTTTTCTAAGAGATATAAACTTATTCTTAATAATTTACATTTGATCTACCTCTCTACCTGTAATTATTATTACAAGTGCCTTTTCTATGGAAGTAGTAATATATATATNTGAAAAAATACTGTTCTTTATGATCTAACCTCATTCTTTTTTACACGCAAGCTATTATAACTAACAAAAAAAATTATACAGGAAAAAGTTTAAACAAATTACAAAAATTATAATAATAAATAATTTAAAAAAAATTGAACATACGCATTAATCTTGAATATTTTAATTATGCTCAAAGAGGGAGAAAAGAATAGCAAACCATCTAAAAAAAAAAAAAAAAAAAAAAATCCAGTGATACTTATTAATATCTGTATCAAAGATTTCACAATTTTAAAATTTCGGAGCAAAAATAGTGAAAAAAAAAGTGAGTTTCTCAATTTGTTTTGAAAAATAAGAAAAAATCTTGTAAAGAAAAACACACTGTTCATTTTGAAGGAAATGATCTGAATAAATCAATCGGGAAAAATAAAACTAAACTCAGAATTCTAGTCTGAACGTTTCGTTCGTTGATGTGCTTCTAAGTGCAAAAATATTAACATCGTAAAAAAAATAAAAGAAAAATGAAAGAAGGGAAAGAAACGCATCAGCAATAGATCTAAAAAAATAATAATTAGAAATCTAATTAATAATTTGGAAATCGGGCTTTGTAATTTGTTTACAATTGTACCCATTTAGCTTCAAGCTGCAATTCGTATTTTTAGTACCTATGGTGTACTCGAAATCAGACCACACAATTTCTTTATTTTATTATATGTATAGATTAAAAATTTAATAAACTGTAATCATTGCAAATATCAACTGAAAACTATGATGACATTTAAAATTGAAAGAAATTTCAGGGAGTGACTCAAGCGTTTTTTAATTCTTCCGTTTCATTTCAATCTATAAAAGCATTTAAATGTATCTTGATTAGAAATAATAAGTTTTCTGAAAAATGAAGAAACAAAATCAATTCTTTTTTTATATTTTTTATTACAGCCATTTAGTTTTTTCTTTTTAAACGACAGGTAATGAAAATGTGATTTTCTTCACATTAAGAAAAATTTATTCCGTCCAAATAAACACATTAAGTGCAATTAATGTACGTAATGCTTGGACGATTTCTTAAAAGTTCTAAGTACCAACTGAAAAAAAAAATAGTTAGCCAATTCGTTTTTTTATGTTCAAAACTTTAACGTTGCATATTTGGATTATTTTTTTGATTCGTTAATAGTGCCTTTATCACGAAAAAAAAAATCCCTTTTTATCGTTTGAAAGTAAAATGAGTAAATTTATTTTATGATTATAATTTATTCAATTTTTATGTTTTTCATTCGAAAAGTACGTCTTAGAGTCTTTTTAGTTTTTGTACATTAACTTAAGCTTAAAAATTTCATAAAAGCAGATAAAGAAATGAATAAAAAAAATGATAAATACATAAATAACGCTCTATTAATTCGTTTGCTTATCTTTGAAAGTAAAAATGTAACAGGGAAATGTTTCTGAAATTATTAGAAACACATGATTTTTTTTCTAAAGACTACATTTCAGTAATTTTAATGTTTACTCCAATGTAAAGTGCGCAAAAAAAAAAAAAAAGACAAACTACGAAACACCTTGAATAATATTTGATTTAATAATCTGAAACATGCTAACTAATTAGATAAATAATCCCAAGAAATTGAAGTCGTGAGATATTACTTGATTAAAAACTTCGTTCGCTTCAAAAATATACAGAATAGAAATAACAGTCGACATGTGTCAAGCCCTCGAAAACATATGCCCATTTCCAAGAGTAGCCAGACGGTAAAGAGAAGAAACAAAAGTGATTTGAAATATAAAACGTAAAGTTTCATATGGAAAAAGAAAGGTGAGAATCAAAACTAGAAAAGCCAGAGTAGCCGAGAGAGAAAAAATGAAAAACAGAACAAGAAAAACTGCAGGCCGAGAGGGGCAAATCAGTGTGGCATGCATTTCCATACGTTACGAAGAGTTGGGGAGGAACTAATGTCGTTATTCTACTGTGTTTTTTTTGCCCAAGATTCCAACAATGTGCAGAAGTTGATGATATTTCA